TGCTGATCGACAGAACCACGAATACTAGCAGAAATTCTAGTTTTAATGAACATCATGCTGAGCCGATTAGATCGCTCCTATCTCTCACGAAGCGTGATGTCCGTTATAGTGCTGGTATCAGTGAGTGCTGATGGTTCGTCTTTCCTAATAGCATAGTTGATTGGTACTTAAAAGTGTATTTTTATCATGATTTTATATCATCATTTTGCACTTGAAGTATCAATAACTCCTTAACTAAAACATGTTTTATAATAATATATCTAATAATATAAGATACCTTTAATTTATGGTAAATGTTCATTTTAAATACAGGCCTATCACATAAATGAAAGGATTGATTGATGACTTTAAGAACTTAAATTGCAAGGGCAAAGAGATGACCAAAATTAGAAAAGAGATGTCGGTGCAATCCAAACCGGAATATTGTTTGGTAATTGGGTCATATCTAGAGCTATAGATCTCATATTTAGGTCTACTTTATATGGATGGAAAGGTAAGACATAGGCCTACAACTTTTATATGGAGCCCAAGATCTAAAAAGGCCATTTTCAAGTCCAAATTATTGCAACAACAAAGAAGCCCGAAACTGTCCTCCAGCCCGAGCACTGCTCAGTATTTTGGCCATATCTGGAGTTCTAGAAGTCCAAATGAGCTGAATTGTTTACACAAGAAAGCTGAGACAATTGCCTACAACTTTCATGTTTTTGAGTGGCTCCAATTTTAATGTTATCAATGACTTTTTGGGCAGACAAGAGAAGATAAGGATTGTCACCAAATCAAGAGTTGGCTACCCACTCATCAATTAGTCATTGAATCAATAGTTCCCAATTTTGGCCTATAAAAGGAGGCATTTGCCATGCATTTAGGCATCTTGGTTTCCAGATCAAGATCATGCTTTTCCTTTCTCTCTTTGTTTTTTTTGTAATGTTTATGCTTTACTTTCATTAATATCAAGTTTATGCCTTTCATTTCCTTTCATTTACTTAGTTAACTTGTATCTTATTTATGTTTTTATTTTGTTTATTTATTTTTCTTTCTTTTATTATGTCTAGCTAAGTTTATTATGTCAAGGTGAAAAGGTTACACTAATGGTGTAAGAATAAGTATAGTGTAAACTTAATATGGACTTTAATGTTTGATACTAACATGTTTTGTATTTGTTATCTTGTTCACTCTTTAATACTTTGCTTGTTAAATGACTAATCTTGATTTATGTTGTATAACACTTGGTACAACAAATACTTAGCACTCTTATAACCCATACTATATGGTATAACCGACACCTGAGCTATAAAAGGAACTTGATTTGTTGTTAACATAAGTTATAATCATGAATGCTTGACGAGATTTACAAGTACTAGCATTAATCGAATAAGATGACTAATGTAATCATGTTAATAATCTATAATCTAATTGGAACCTCCTTTGTGTGTGGTTTTCAATTGAATAATAAGAGTTTATATTATACTTGTTTGACATACCATTAGTGGAACCTCTAACCTTGATATTTGTTATTATTATTGTTTAATCCTTACATTAATTTTTCATCTCCAAGTTCTCATCATCATCATCTTCTTCTTCTTCTCTTTCTTTATTATTATTATTATTATTATTATTATTATTATAGTTATTATTGTTATTGTCATTATTATTATTATTGTCATTACTATTATTATTGTTGTTGTTATTGTAATTGTTATTGTTGTTGTATTATTGTTATTTATAATTTGTACAATTAACCTCCCTATGGTTCGACCCCGGTCTTGCTGGGTTATTTATTACTTCGACACTCCTGCACTTGGGAGAAGACATCAATCTTTTAGTCGTGTCAATAGTCTATGTCCATCCACCCTAAATGAAGAAGAACTCTTTCCTTCCAGATCTTATAGTTATCTCCCTTAAGTTCAGGGATATCATAACGAACATCAGAAATATTTGCAGGTTGTAAAATTGCATACAATTATAGATTACATGCTTAAGTTAAAAATAAGGCAATAAATATTCATGCTTTACCAATGTAAATCATGCTTAAATATTAAATCTAATGATATAAAAAAGCCTGTAGGCTAAATTTTTAATTCAGGTAGATTCAATTATTCTTTATGATCAAATTATTTACTTAATTCATAATTCTAAAAAACATATATCATGATTATAATTTGATATATATTTTATCTTTGATTAAAATTTTATGATAAAACTATCAAGTTATTTACTTAATTCATAATTCCTGTGGGTAAGTTATGAATAACTTGATATTTTATCCTAATTAATAATATAAATATAATAAAAATTCCTGTGGGATAAAATTTATTATATTAAATATAATTAATTACAATTAATGTCTAATATTCTTTATGTGATCCTAATAATTCATAATATATAATTTTAATCAATTAAAGATGCTGTGGCTATTCTCTAATTAATTTAAAATTATATGGATCGTTAGACATTAAATCGCTTAAGACTAACTTAATATTATAAATTACATAATTTTAACTAATACTAACATGTTATTATTATGCATAAAATATTATCATAATATAAGCATAAATATTGCATAATCAAAACTATAATATTATGCACAACATTTAATTTCATGCTTTTAACTATATATATATATACACTCATAAAAATTGCATGTATTAATATAGAGCATAAATAATCAATTTATGCAAACTAAATACGAGCATAATAATTAAATTTGCATAATAATAATCTAAATTACATATTATTAAATCAAATAAAAATTATAATCACGACAATGTATTGTAGCAATTATTAACTCAATTCCCAACTATTTAAAAATGGGAATTAAATGTCACTGTTTGTTAAAAAATCAAAGTTGCATTTTTTTTTATTGGTTGTCTTCAGGCCATAAACAAAAATAAATAAAGCAACTTAATAAACCAAGGTAGAGATAAATTGTGGCTTTGATACCAAATGAAAAACTTAATTAACGATTCTTTGATGCAGAATAAATATGTTTATAACAGAATCATAAGTTTTAATAATAAGGAAATAATACCTCTAGCCATTGATGTTTCTCATGTATTTGCTGCTCTCTTTATATATATATTTGGCACTTCCAAACTCTACTCACTCTATATAGATGGTGTAAAACTTAAAGTAATTGAGTTAGTGAGTATGGGAACCAAATAACATTATTTATAGCCAAAGCTTCCATCAAACTTTAATGGTTATATGTTACATATACTTATTATATTATGGGTAGTTACAAGTGAAACACTTTAAGAGTTCATGAATGTTACATCCTTAAAGTGAACCAATTAAAGAGTTCATAAATGTGAATGTTATATTATTAAAGTATTATTAAAGTGAATCACTTTAAGATCTTATAAATATAAAGATTACAAATCTTTAAAGGGACCACTTTAATGGTTCATAAGTGTAAAAGAGAGTTAAAGAGTCGTTTATAATAAATTTATAAAAAATGATCAACAATAACTTCCAGTTTTCTCTAAAGGATCCATTTTGTTAGAGGCACGTAGTATAGCAGGTGCACTGGATATGCATTGTTTCCATAGTTATGAATACAGCAGAAGACAAATTCCCATGGTTGTCCCTACTGTCTAGATTCTCTATGGGCCTTCAAGATTCAGAATAGAAATCATTTCTAAAGCTACAACCAGAACTGTATGTAGTTGTTGTACAGCTTGTGCAAATAACAGAACATGGCATAATCACTGAAATTTGAGAAGAAATCATTTCCCTTCTATGTTTTTTGTTGAGGTTTCATCCCAGGTGATATGCAATAACATGATTGCCCAAAAATATTTTTTTTATATCGGTGGAAATTGAAGATTGAAATGGCAACTTGTCAATTTTCTACATGTTCCTAGAGTTGCAAAAAAGAAGAAGAAAAGCTATTCAACTGGCTTTATCATTTAAGTTTTCGCATACATCTTCCTCTCTGGAAACTTCTACATAAACCTGTGAATGATTGTAATCATTTTACTTCATCTAAGGTTGAACCTGAACATATTGTTTATTAAAAATATTCTGAAAACTCTTACCTAGACCATATTGGCAGTCACTTGTGGCAGCAAATGGACTGCAGGGATTATTTTTTTTTTCCCGTTATACGAGGGCTTTCTCCTGAATTTTGGTCAGCTGGGATCTTGGAATGTTGTAATGTTTTCGACACTCGAACAAGTAAGATCTGTGAATCATGTCCTGTTTTGGTATTATCCCATTTTAAAAAAGTGGATTCCAGGAACTGCCTCCATTCCCAGTTGGTATGAAATCTGAAGTTGCTTCCATATTCCAGCAGAACAAAACATACTTGGAGTCTAATGTCAAAGCTTTTAAAATTAAAGAAAACTACGTACTTGTTTAACTTAAACTTGAAAAGGATATGCTGACTTAGATAAAAAAATAATGATAATAATAATAACAAGAGAGGAATTCTAGTAACTCAGGATTTAACAATTGACAATTCAAGTGACTGCATCACTTGATGTTCTTGCTTGGATTCACTTTTTTTTTATTAGGCGTGGGTTTTTGTTTCTCAAGCCTTTTCTATTACTAATAAGCCATCTTAACTGAAAAGCTCATTCTTGTTTATTGTGCTAATACAGGACAAGAAAATAGTCACAGGGCAAGCATCCTCTTGATTAACGATGAGTTTTGGGAGGTGGAAAGATACTAATCTTTGCTTGGAAATTGCCTCTTCTACAATTGGATAATTCTTTTCAAGGAGAATTAAGGTTTAATCTGCTCATGTTCTTTGCCACTTGGTTACAGAATAGAGATTTGTTTGCGTAATTATTCTGTATACATGCACACTAGATTTATCGGAAGCTATCATTCTTAGGGGGTAGAAATTGGCTTCTCCCTTTTCTCTGAAGGGAAGCTTCGTCTCACCGCCTATACGATAAATGCTCATTGCATGCTTTATTTGAAATCTCTGAGTCTCTGACGAGTCCCATATAACTGTACTCCCTAACACAAATAATTTTGAAAAGATTGAAACAGAGAGATCTAAATCAGACCAACTACTATCTATAGGCCGAAGTTGGAATCTCCATAAGATTACCAAAGGCACATTTTCACAGTACATACAACATCAGTGAACTGTTAACTCCTAATGACATTAACAGACTAGTAATGTCCTAGAACCTCTCGCAAATTTCCTTTGAATGCCAAGGGGCAACAAGCTACCTGGGAACTACGTAACATCCTAGACTTGCATATATCAGGAAGATGGAACTCATGCTCTGGGAAATAGGTAAACACTAGCCTTGATAACCAATCTGTTTCCAAGCTTGAATCCGGGGCTAACAGGGAATCCCACAACATGACCAGCTGGAATCCGACCATTAGAAAATTTCACAACACTCTCCATATATTGTGGATGAAACTCAGCTCCCCTACTTGCCTCGAATTGACTTGGTGCAGGGTCGAGTGAGAAGGCCAGCAAGTGAAGCAACCAAATGGCCTTGGCCAACCCCAAGAACTCTCGATAAAACTCACTCCTTGGATGGCTGCCAGTGAGTACTTGCTGGCGCTGCTCCAAGTTTCCGAACAAGGACTCCTCCATTTTCGGATGAACAATTTCCAGGTACTTCTTGGAGCAGAATTTTCCAAAATGACATGTTGGCAAGATTCCAAGAAGTTCAATGGGGTCCATGGCCTTCATATCACGATACTGAGCAAAGCAGTCACGGCGGAACTGGTCTGGGTTGAGAAGCGAGGAGAGGCTTCCATCCATGTAGAAGGTTTCATGGTCAAAGCCTTGGAAGACCTTGCGAGAAATGTAGGACTCCAGAGCATACTTGGCATGATGGCTTGCAATGGTGGAGGTGATAGCAGTGGTACTGGTAGTCAAATTGTCAGTGGTTGTGGTGGCAGCTTCAATAGAACGAACGGCTGCAGCAATGTCCCAGTGGGCAGCACGCATGAAGGTCAGGAGAAGTGACGTGAAGGACTTTGATGTCCTTTTCACTTGGCTCATCGTTAATTCAAATAGCTCTGGGGCTGGGGCTGCTGCAACTGTTACAAGCAATGAAGAAGGGTATAGTTTATAGATGCATTCCAACATGAAAAGAACAATGCTTTGATAAGGAAATAGTCCAATTACATTCCATTTGGTTGCTAAGAAAATGACTGAGCATTAATTAAAGTTGAAGCGTACAATCTCTAAGATTTGCGATTACTCTGGTTTCCAAGTTTACATAGAAGCTTAAAAGTTGTCTTCGACACTCGGTGTTATGCAGGTAAGCATTAAACTTCTCACATTTCTCTGTCAGTGTCTCAAATCTTTGAAAACAGTTCAAGCCGTGCTGGTTAATTATCGAATCTAGGAATCTAGTGTTACTGGTTGCTAAGAGTTTGCATTGGAGATCTGAAGACTCAAGTTTTCAACTGTGTTTGTTATATACAGAGTTACGAATACAAGTCCAGAATTTTTATTCAAAGGTAGACTAACATGTTATGAATGCATTTTGATACTAGCCTAAAAAAGTTCTTTGCCGGGGGATAGCAGACTAACCTTGAACACCAAGAGAGCAGCTAACTTTCCTCCTTGACTGGGACCTCCCCTTCTTTCCACTCCCATCACTGCTCAAGCTAGTAACACTCCTCAGCTTCTCCTTTAAATTCTCCACCTCCACCTCCCTCGCCTTCACTTCCTTCTTCAGATCTTCCACCGCAGCCTCATAAGGCGCCACAATCTCCCTCAACATCCCCACTCCATCACCACCAACACCAACACCTCTCCTCCTCCCTCCATCACTACCAACACTAACACGCCTCCTGAATCTCTCTCTCAAAAAAGTCAACCTCCTCAACTCCCCTACCACCACCACATCAGCCACCCTTAACCTCTCCGGGTCCCACGGGCTATGCGCCTCTTGTAAACTCCCATAAGCCCTCTTCATCACCGATACCGAATCAAACACCTCATTCATCAGCATCTCCATCTCCATCACTCTCTCCATTGGCACCACCATTCCGCTCTTAACATTAAAATCCCAATTACCATTAACTCTACCTCCCTTCTCTCTCATTTCCTCCTCCTCTTCGGACAACTCCTCGCATTCATCCGTTTCATATTCACACACTTCTTCACCATTTCCGGCAACATTATTTCCAGATTCCTGACGACCAGCGGCTAGTGGATGGAGCAAACAGGAAGCTGCTACTCGTTGGATTAGATCGGAGAAATTGGATGAGACTTTGCTTGCCATTTCTCCCTTCTTCTTTGGCTTTACCTCACAGTTCCTACCCCCCCTATAAGAAAAATCAATCAAAAGAGAGCAAGGGTAGTAGTTATTAAGAGGATGAATCTGTTACAAATTATCTGTCATTTGCCGAGGATAATAACAGCCTGCAGCCTGCAGGAGCACCACACCCTTTTAACATAACATCACACCTACTTAATAATAATAATTGGATACGGACATGCATTGCATTCAATAAGCAATGACCCCAATTAATGATGAGTTAAGCAGTACCATGTAATCAAGTAAAAGAAGATTTAAAATTACTGACCTGGGGTTATGGTTATGTCCAGATCGTGAAGCGGTCAACCTCGCTGGCTTCACATTAACGACTGGGTCTCTGTCTAATGGAAAGGAGTATAAGAAGTTAAGGTTGTTGTTGCTGATGTCCTCTGCTTCCAGCTGGCTGCTCTTCTTCTTCCTACGAACCCAAAATCTGCTACTGTTAGTGAAACTGCCTCACCTGACCTCAAGTGGCATCTTGAACAGGGCTTGCTAAGCTAGAGCCTGTGTGTGTAAATGGGGAATGGGCATCTAGGATGTGGAAACTGGTTATGTGTGTCATACACGTGTGAGATCATCAAGAATGTAGGGTTCAGATTGATAGACAAGATATTGTATCTTGTGCACTCCGTTCTTTGAAGCGGGGACGCTTGATTCTCGTTGCTATGGGTGGCACATGGATGGTGGATGCTGTCTTGGCCTGCGTGGTCCTTGACAGTGGTGGACTCAAGAACAAGTTACAATACCTTATGTTGACTCCGATTTGCAAATTCACTTGTTGTCTAGGTCCCTTAGGAGGGGGAAAAGGTACGGTAGTTGCCATCGTATTACTTATAATCAATCCACTTGTAATAAAGTTTGCAATTAAAAACAAAAAAACCAAGAAAATCTATAGTTTTCCCTTCTTTTATACATGGCAAACACGGCGTAGCAAAGGCTATTGGACTACAAATACAGGCCCTTACCACGTGAGACCCTGTCCCACAAAATTTACTACATCTCCAAGAAAGATGCTCAGAACTGCAGAGAAGTGTGATTGGCGAATTGCTCAAGCAAGGGCAAAAGGACAAGATTCCAGCAAAAGGAAATAAAATGATCTTTTCTTTAATAATGATCACTGCCAGTCTAGAATAGAAACATGGAGTTTGTCTAAATCCCAACACATTGAGCTTCCAGCTCGAGAGCACCCTTGTAATGAATGCTCTTGGAAAAGCCAGGGGTTTAAAGCTTGAACCGTTATCGGTTATTTTGTAACCAAAAAAAAAGAAAACAGAGAGGCTTGAATGTGTAACTGATGGCTGATCATCAATCTTCATCAAATATCAAATAAATTGGTTTTATCAAGTGATAAATCCTATCCATTTAGGCATCTGCGAAACTCAGTGCACGTTACAAGACAGAATAGCTAAAGTTAGTGGGGAACCGGGCAAGTTTAAGAAATGGAGGACATGGCAGATGTTTAGTTAGATCCTTATCAGAAACAGGCCTTCAGCCCCTGCTCAAGCGAACAATTTCAGTGGCTATGAGCTACCAGGGCAAGAAATGTGTCGCGGTTATGTCCAATTTCAGTGGCTTGAGCTACCTGCCGATTACGTATGAGGAGAATTGCTTTGCTTACTCTCAAATATCATATGTATTCTTTTGTGCATGAATTAAGGGGAAAATAAAACCATGGAGGTAGCCAGCTCAAATTGGGATACCAAAAATAACTGGAATTTGCAAAGCATAAGCTTCAGAAAGTCATGCAGCTTGTTAAGTACTATATCATAGATTTAATCTTCCAGATAATAAATCAGTTACCTCAAGCCTAACAAATGAAACACTCTCCTAGGATAACAAGATCAACGAAGCTTCAGTTTGGTAAAAATGGAAAATCAGAAGCTGATTCATTTTATCTGTTCGGTTTAGGACACTGAAGTTTCAAAGCTAAAATATACGGCCATGAAACCAAAAGTCTTAGAGACACCCCACAGAAAACGAGGCAGAGCATAAGAGCCTAGAACTTCCCTTTGGAAGAGCTCCTAGACTGCATTTTTCCGCTGCAACTGGCAACTTTCAAACCATCTAAAGTGCTGCAATCTTCACGGAAATGCACCATGAAATACAACACATAGAAAGTAACTACAGAATCATTGCTTCTGCTAATAAATACAAGCTAGTCGTGAATAGAAGTGTAGTAGTTAAGCATGCATGCATGATCTGGATTATGTTAAAGTTATGGAGGTTATTACCTTGCACTGTCAGGACGCACGGAACAAAGGAAGATACCGGAGAACATGGTCTCTAACACTGGTGGGATCGGGTCGGATAGGATTAGATTTGCAAGTTAAGTGATTTGACTCAACGAGTACTGCAGACACCTCAAACGAACATAGGAGTTTATATAGAAAGTTTCCAACGGCATGTACCAAACTCATAAACAATACAAAAGGAAGCTGTTCGATTCGACAAGCTTCTGTTTGGATGTTTAGTCACCACTCACATGCAATTCACTGAACTTGGCAACACAGTTTTCGACCGGTTTGATTTTGATTGGAACCTAATCGTCAATCAACAAAGATTATCAAAGAAAAACTCATCATCAGGATAAATAATCACCAGTCATATCTAGTACTTGTAGAAATTAATCTGTAATATTATCACTTCTTGTTTAGTCTAGGAGTTCTTTCCTTCTTGCAGGGTGAGCAGACCATGATACGCATGCTTTGCCCACAAGTAAAAATATTAAAACGTCAAAAGAAGTACTGTTCTCCACTGATTTAATCTGTGCACAGAAACTAACATAGCATAGATGGTGAAACAATTTAATTCGTGGCCCTCTTGAGAGCTTTGCTGTGATTTGTGCTCTTTCTCCTGTAAGAATCCCAGCTAGCAGCGGACAGCAACTTCAAAATTATTTAGTGCTGCTCCACTATTTTTCAAATTACGACGCATGGAATTCATGTATATGGTAAAGACAAGGAGGGAGGGGGGACTTCCCATCAATTTTCTCTTAGCGAGTGTGTGATATTTTGTTTGCCATTATTTTTGCCAGGCCACTCCATTTTGGAGGAGGGTGTTTGGAGTGTGACTCTTCCGACACTGCGTGTCTTGAGTGAAAAGTATTGCTGGGCCGATCGATATTGCGTTTACAGCTAGCGTGATTTGTAATTGATTGCTTGACCATACATTTGATTTTTAGTTCTAAATGAATAATTCAAAAACTGTTGGGTATTTTTCAGAACATATCATGTTCAATTCGAAAGGTCAAGCAAGATTAGATGAATCATACACGAATTGTGGACAGCCTTTGAAGGAGACCTGCAAGCTTTGATACTAACTAGATTAAAGAGATCATACTCACAGTTATCTAAAAGCCTAAACTACTGTAAGTATCTAAGGTTATATTGTCTTGGATCCTTGTTTTCAGCAATCCTGTCCGTGTAAATTCGATCCTCTTTACTTAACTTCCAAGATCATAGTGAAAAAAATAGCTGAAGAAGGTGGTGAGTTATGGAGATTATACCTTACCACCGAAAGAGCTAAAAAAACAAGCAAGAAGTAATAATCACAGGATATTCAAATTAAATTAGTAGCATCCACTATTGAGTTTCACTTTAAAATCGCAATCCAATAATTCATAATTTCATTAAAGTTTTTTCTTGTTATTTATCAATTTTCATGCACACAAAAGGTGAAGATCAAAGTTTAACTCGGCCTAGTCCTATATATTCTTTTGCACGTGATTGGTCCTTGCATCATTAATATATTAAATGAAAAAAAGACATATATAATTATGATTAAAAAAATACTTATAAATGTAGTAGCGGTTATTTAAAAAAAACTATTTGAAAATATATCAATTTTCATGCACACAAAAGGTGAAGATCAAAGTTTAACTCGGCCTAGTCCTACACATTATTTTGCACGTAATTGGTCCTTGCGTTATTAATATATTAAATAAAAAAAACATATATAATTATGATTAAAAAAATATGTGTAAATATAATAGCCGTTATTTAAATAAATTTACTAGAAAATATATTAATTTTTACTTTTTAAAAATTAATTTTGATATAAATAATCAAAACAATCGGAAAATAAAAAAAAATTTGAAAATAATTTTAAAAGATTTATAATATGAGGTTATTGGAGGGTTTAATTGTTACGTGGGAATTTCATGATCACACTCTTGTAAAAGGAACTCAAGATAAAAAAAATTAAAGAAATTCGATTAGAAAAGGTCCCATTTCAGAAGTTGTTTATATATTAATTAGAGAAAGGAACATTAATTAAATAATTAATCAGAAATAGATCTTGTTTTGTAGGTAGGCGGGAACAATCTGCATAATTAATTTAATTGTTCGAGTTATGATTGATTAGTTAGTTAGTTAGTTAGTTAGGCAGCTAACATCGATGGATGGGGCACAGTTAGGAATGTGTTGGCTAGGCATGAGTATCCGTCATGGATTAACAGATTCCTATTTTAGGCTCTGCTATTAACATTAAGATTTTATAAATAATAATAATAATAATAATAATAATAATAAAACTAGAAGATGTGAGGAAATTAATGTTCACCTCCTCACAAACTCACATGTCACTGGTCACTTAAACAGTGATTTTTTTTAATTTAATTTTTCTTTCCATTTTAATCTTATACTTTAATATTAAGTTTACAATAGATAATTTATTTTAATTTGTTTTTTATGTAATTATTATAATTTTATAACTCGTTTCACATGTTTAGTAGGTTAACTTGAGTTATTTTTATTTTTATTTTTATTTTTATTTCAAATTTTAGTATTCGGTTGATTAAAAATTAAGTTTTATAGTTTATTTTATTTTTTTATAGGATTATTTTAGTCTTACGACTTAGATGACAAGTTTTGTATGTTAACCCATATTTATTCAAGTCATTTTTTTTTATTATATTCTTTAATATTGGGTTGATTGAGACTTGAACTTTACAATTTATTTTAATTTGTTTTTTATGAGATTATCTTGATCTTATGACCCGGGATGCAGGTTTGGCGAGTTAGCCGAGTTGATTCAAGTCTTTTTTTTTTTTGTCTTTTTTTCATTGATTTGTTTTCTTCAATTTCATCTTTCAACATAGAATTGGTTAGAAAATAAGCTTTATATTTTGTTTATATTTTTCTTATGAGGTTATCTCATTCTTATGACTTAAGTTATAAATTTAACAGATAAACCCAAGTTGTCTCATGTCGTCTTTTAAGCCTTCATTTTAATTGAATTTTTTTCTTCAACTAAATTCTTCAACAATGAGTAAAATGAGAATTGAATTTCATAATTTGTTTTGATTTATTTTCTATTAGGTTATTACCATCTCTTGATGCAGATTCTAAATTTTGCATGTTAACTCGAGTGACCTGAGTCAATCCAATATATTGTTATCTTGATATTTTTTTTAAATATCATCTTAAAATTTATTTTAGTCAACTTATATTTTTATCAATCATCTGAATTACTTTTAAATCTACTAAGTTAATTGGGCCATATCAAACTAATTCTCACATGATTTAAAGTTTTTTCTTTAATAGAAATTATTTTAACAACATCTAAATATTTTTTATGTTAAAAAAAAAGTCAATCCAACCATAGCATAGCAACCCATTGTGTACTATATTAAAACATGTGGGAAAAACTTTGTATATTTATTGTGAACACATACTTATTACATTGTGGACGACACTGTAGTATTTATAGGGAGTGTTGTCTTTATTGTGTTTAGTCAAAAATTATTATTGGAAGTGTTGTCTTTTCTATTTTTGTGCCAAAAATTGTTGGATCTAGCTCAAATCCAAATCGCTTTCAGAAGGATCCAAAGTAGTTTTGGATTCAACTCCATAATATAACCCAATAGCTTTAGGTCTGACCTCAACTGAACCCATTAGCGTTGGGTCTTGCTATTGGGTCTAGTTCCGCAATTACATCCAAGTTTACTAGGTCCGGCTCCGTAGCCAAACCCAATAACAGGACCCGACACTTTAATTTAACTTTTTTTTGCTCTTATTTAAATTTTTTCACACAATAAAGAGAAAATAAATTATGAGAGTTCTTTTTATATTATATAAAAGTTGGGTGATGAGAATTTTTTTTATTTGAGGTTGGGTTGAATTTTTTTATTAAAGCATATTTATTTTTTAGTTTCGAAAATGCTTTAAAAAAGTTTTGAGAATTTTTATTTTTTTAATTCAAATTAATTTTTTTAATATCTTTGTATTGTTTTGATATGATGTTATAAAAAAATCAATTTTAATTTATTTTCTCTTATTGGATTTTTTTCAAACGATAAAAAAAAGATAAATTGATGGTAGTTTTTTGATATTCTACAAAAATTAGATGATGATAATTTTTTCATTTGAATTTATATTGGATTTTCTTATTAAAACATGTTTGTCTTTACATTTAAAAAATATCAGCACACTAATAATGATAGCGAATGTAGTATATGCATAATCTATTTCAATAAAAACTAAAGAAATAAGAAGAAGAGAAAAAAAAGAAGAAAAGTTATCTCATCTATTAAAGAATTATGTTATCTTTAATGAACGAAAAAGAGGAATTTATTTAGTAATATTATTTTTGTAAAAAAAATCTTGGTAATTTTAGTATGTTTTCCTTAATTGTTTTAGATTAGACTAAATGATTTATATATTTTAATAAACTTTATGACTATTCAAAAAACAATTAAATAATAACATAAAAATTTTATATATACATATTCTTAATACATGTCTAACATATAATCGCAATAAATTTTTTAAAATAATAACATTTAAAAAAATTATAATTTTAATATTATTATATTAAAATTGATCAATGAATTTTTTATTTATATCATATACTTTATATATTTGTATTATATGAAAGAATTTTGTTAATAATAAAATCTATTAAAAAATAATTTATAAATATTATAATATAATATCATGTTGGTTAGGTAAAAGTATTTTAATTTTATAATATTAGTTTAGGAGATTCAAAGCTTTATTAATATTATATTCTATATAGAAGATATTGAGAACAAGTCAATGAGAAGCTAGTTGGTCAAACTACTAGTAATGGCACACCAATCAAGTAAACTGAATGTAAATAATGAGAATAGGAAGACGAGTTGACGATGATAATAAAGTGCAAGTAAAGTGACATGCAGGTGAAATTAAGATAGGCGTGATAGATCGGTGGATGGCTTCAAGTTCATGTAAATAGAGCTTCGAACATTGTTCGGTGAGTGAGTGGGAGAGCTTCTAGAGATTTAACTGGAAAGCAAACTTGCTAGCAAAGGTTAAAAGGAAATGACAGTAAGAGTTTTTCTTCCATGAACCCCATGAACCCTATTTTGAGCTCACAAAGTTTATCTTTCCAATGCATTCCGAAAACAAGGGACACTGACCTTGTCAGAATTCGGAATGTCTGTGTTCATCTTGAATCGTTTTGTTGTAGAGCTTCGATCCATGTCAAATAAGAAAAACACCATGGATTAGTGCATAATTAACCAAATTACTTGGTTAATTTTTCAAGGATATATCGAGCATCTACACCCTTCATATGGTGCCAGCCTGCCAGGAACTGGGCCAATAAGGTGTGGTTAGTTTCAAGTTCATTCTGCTAAAAGCTGTCGCATCCCGACCTACCAGTCCCGTTGTAACAGTCAGAAATGAGATAAGGTTTCTAAGATATTTTTGTAAGAGGTAAGATATTTAACTTGTTGGTCCCAATATCTGTACGAAGTCAGGAAAATGGTTAGCAAAGCAAAAATATCTTTCTATCATCCATCCATCGACTTTCTGTCTTTATAAAATCCAACTAAATAGTGCTATAAGTCAGAAAAGAAGTGGGCTTCTTCATAGCTTTTGAAGAGAAGGAAAATTAGAGAGAGATTAAAGGGAGAGAGGAGAGGAATGGAGTTCTACAAGAGGCCTAACAGGAGTGATGTTCACGTGTCAGTCGAGGAAGAGGCAAAACAAGAGGAGGAAACAAGAGGATATTTCGAGGGAATAGCTCCTAAGCGTCACTCTAAGCCTCAACGCAGCGAGTATTCCATTCAATACGTTGATGCACTCACCACTAATGGCGATCAAAGCTTCAACCCAGAATATGTTGAGTTTCAACGTCTCGAAACTGATCCTCAGGTTAGTTTCTTGACCTTTCATTTACCATGCGAGCCCACGACGGTTCTTGATTATTCTTATGCATCTGAGAAACCCTTGAATGTGGATTTGTAGATTGATTTTTCTTTTTCTTTTTATAATTTTGAATGCAGAAAATAATTTCAAATGAAAGCAGCAAAGTGACTGAAGAATTTGTAGAGACAGAGTATTACCAGGATCTCAACTGTGTTGACAAGCAACACCACACGGTATTACCATTGCTATGCCTAGCTACATATTCTAGTCCAATTCTTTTATTTCTTTACTATTTTCATACATCTAAATAAAATTTTAGTTGTCCAATTTCCTACCTTTTGATGCCTTACTCATTTCAGTATCTTCTTTTAATTTGATCGTTTTAGATTAGCCTGGTGAAAGTTTCTTAATTTTTGGAAAAGGGAACAGTTACAAAGGGGTATATCATGGGAGTTTTCTTCATTTTGCAGACAGGAACAGGGTTCATCAAAACGGAGAACGAATATGGCAAGCGCTTCAGCCTAGCACCAGATTCCACAACCAGTTGCCATGCCTCTTGCAAAGGAAATCCAGCAACTAATGATTGGGTTCCAGCTGATGCTGATATGGTACATTTCATTACTTACAATTTACAATAATCTTTTTGTTTTATTTTTTAGGGTTTTGTTCTGCAAGAGTTTTTAGGTTGAGCTGACTCGACTCTGTGACTACATGTTCAGGTGATTTCCGCTTCAGACAAGCCCAAGAGGAGTGAGTCGAGTGACAATTGAAAAGAAGGGTGGCTGGACATGTTATCTTTGAATAAAGAGCTAGATCATGCATGTTTCTTTTCTTATTGTCGGTCCGTACCAAGTGTTGACTGTCGCAAATAAAGTCCCAAGACAACAATTGTTGCTTGAGTAAACGTAGCCCTTGGATTTGTTCTGGGAAAAAAACTGCAGCTTCTGCGCGTGTGATATGTGGATGGAAACTCGTTTCTGAAGAACATATTGTTTTCTTTATTATTATTATTATTATATGTTGAGCTTCGGAGGAAGCTCTGCCAGAATCCAAAAATTAAACAGCAGCCCTCACAAGAAGGTAATACAAGGACAAACAGGAACCATAACAGATACACAAGCTGTTGACAGAACAGATGAGTGAAAATGACAACAAGAAGTCTTGAGAGCCATTCAACATTCAGTGAGACTTTGGGCATTGAAAGAAGCAAGAAACCAAGTTCATCACATATTCAAATACAATCAGCCATGCAAGGCAACAATTCCTACACAGAACAATCACTTGACACCACCTAAATGAAAATAATGTATCCATAGCTCAGGCTACCACATGCCAATGAGCTCAACTGGTACCATTCCCTTCTCCTTTCAAGAGGTCTTGAGATCGTACTGACGGCTACAACATGCTAGATATTGATAACCATAGATATACAATTTACTTAATAAGCATGCTAAATGATCATAACAGATACTGTTACGTAATACGTCTACAACATGCAGCCGGATGTTGCACGAGAATGAAGATGACAGACTCGTCTAGCTTTGCCTAATGGTAAAAATCATAGGATGAGGTAAGCCTTCTGGAGTAAAACTGACATTAGTGAAAAAATCTGCCAACGTTCAGCTTTATCAACATTGATCATTGGATAAATTAACTAGGGAATATAGTACAGACCACATGATAAAGCTGCCAAATATCAATAGAGAACCAGCTACTACAACATGCGCTAGTGGCTTAATTTACAGCAAAACAATTACAACACCCCTCCCATGCTCAGGGTAAGGCATGGATTCATCGAGCATTGACACAATTACACTCCCGTAACATACAAACTAGCTGCAAAAACTATGTCACGCTTTATGGCGTTCGAAGCAGATTCCATTTTCTTGTAGACTGCAGAATTACCCATGATAGCTGCAGCATTCTTAAATTCACGACATGTCTCGTCCAATCTGACAATTGTGCGCACTATCAGGCCTTCAGGAACATCAGTAAGTTCACATATATCAGCAAATGGAGTACCCTGTAAATGGAGAAGCTTACGAGGTCACTAACCATCCAGAACTAATGAAATGTTAAATTGATGTGTTTTAGTATAAGAAACCTTTGCCCACTCGTACACAACTTCAACTAAACCGAACTTAAGATTCTCATTGGCATACTCCTCAGGGTTTATTTGTATATTGTAATTTGATTGAAGCTCTCCAAGTCTTATTGCTGTGCTGTACAACCTGAAGTGAACAACCGTCTAGGATTAGATTGAAAACTGAAAAATGAAAAGAAAAGTAATGGGAAGAATAATAACAACGTTAGATTCCAGAGTTATAATCTAGGATCTAATAGGCACAACTGTAAAAGCATATAATCTTACACAGGCAACTTTTTGAATATGTTAATGGGGAAGCTATAATCCATTTTCACTAACTGCAATCAAGTCATCCGTCATATGAAAACAGAAAGCTAAATTATTGATTTGAATTCCTAATAGGATCCTGGCAACCTGCGGTTCACCGTTCATGTAGCATTACTGCAAAGCATCAAGCATGGTGCCCCATGACCACGATTCCAGTTTATCAGAATAACAGAACCATCTTAGATGGAAACCACAATTTTACATCTAGAAAATCTAGAGAAAAATCTACCGTGTAATAAGGAATCTAACCACTGGATCATGCAGATGTAAGGCAGGGCATTGACACAAGGATGGAGAATCACCTCTTTTTAGCTTGAGACAGCCTAGGAGTAAGTGAAGGCTCAGAAGTTTTCCTCTGCTGAAACACAAAAGCAGACATTATTGCCACCGCTTCTTCAGGTTCCAGATCATCAAGTTGATTCTCAAATAAACACTCGGTGCATATCAACTCCTCCCCTGAATTCATCTCACATGCAACACGGCCTTTAATTTGAACTACAAGGTCACCATCTATGCAACCAATTTCCTTGAGAACATATATCTGCAAATGCAGAGCTTAAAGATTTGAGGGTAGTGTGAAACCAACATGGCAGATAATTAACACAAGAACATTTTGCTGCTACATAGAACATCAAGGGGAAAAAAAGAGACATACCCGGCCCTGAAAGTCTGGCATCTGTTGGAGTGCTTCATCTGACATTTGGAATTGCAGGTTACTGACTTCTTCTTTATGCCTCTTTATCTCTTTTGCCAAGCTAATGTGCTCCTCCAATTTTATACACCCATGACACTTATTTGATGCCATCTTTTGTAGCAGGCTTGTCCATTTGTGGTAGTCTTCCACAAGATTCACATCTTTCAACTTCAGCTCTAAACAGTATCATCAATGGAAAAGTCATATTTAGCAAGTTGTGAAGTAAGACTAGCTTACCATCATAAAGAACATTGAAAAGGAGAAGTGCAAAAGGTGAATTTTCCACTTAGCATGTAGGATTAAGAACTATGCTAGAAAGAGAGCATCAGAATGACCATAACCACATATCAACATGCATAACAAGGGCTTGCACTGTCAACACAGGAATTGAAATCAACCAGCATGATTCATATATTATGATGCATAATTAAGGACCAGAGTCATTAAGGGCAAGAAGATAAACCACAAGCCATGAATCTCACTTAAAATACATAGTTAGATCTATAGGTAACAGATCAACACCCACCAGCAGCACCGCACACAAAAACCTTGATTCTTTCCCGAACATATTTCAAAAATAACAGGAAAGGAATTTAGGGCTTGAAGATTATGGGAAGGATCACTAAAGAAAGGTACCAGCAGGCCAATCTGCCAGAAGAGAAAGCTTCTTCATAGGAGATGATCTTAAAGAATCTAGGGTTCACTGTTTTCTGACGCACTTAGGTTAAGCCAGATTTTGAGACATAGATAATGCAATTGCAAGCCACATTTTCCAGTATCCAAAAAGGGGCCTGGCTGATCATAATGTCAACTTATATGGACTATTTGGCAAATTTTCCAGAATCCAATAAGGGGCTTGGCTCGTGACAATGTCAACTTATTTGGAGTATTGTCAAATTATTACAAATTCTGGAACTGATAAGAATGCTATTGTTTGTTCTTTCATGTTTTTCTTTCCTAATCATCAATGATAGTTAGCAACATTCTTGTACAGCATGTGTAAAGAAATAGACAAGATGTTACAAGTTATGCAGTTCATCTTCACCTGAAAGATTAAATATTATCTTCACAAAAAATGCCTTACCTTTCAGTGGATCTAGTGCAGGAGGATATTTATTTCCGTCACTTTTTGTTTCCAACAGCTGCTGAACTGTCTTAGAGAAAGCAGCATTGCTACCATCTTCGAGAAGCCGAACTTGGTCAATTGTTATTTTACGATTGCATATGCATAAGAATTCTTTGCTTTCAATTCCTCTAACTTCATAATTGATCCCGGCAGCAACACCTTGGTATGGTAGTTCTATCTTGATGGTGCCTGATCCCTTCCGATTAGTGAGAGAAGAGAAGTACTCTTCGTTAAAACTACGCTTTGATTTTGGCATCAGCATGTAACCTTGCTGGAAATCTGCACTTTTTTTATCTTGCAAGTTACTGCTTACTGATGG